TCCCGCCCAGGGTGTAGGCTCGGGGCGTGACATAGACGAATAAGAACAAGACACACATACGTATCTTGTGCGTATGTGTTGGGAATTGTAGTCAATTGAAATTAAGAATTTAGCCAATTTGAGTTTAATTGGTGATTCGGCTAAAAATTAAACATGAAAAATTAATAAAAACTAATTAACTTAATTATAAACTAATTAACTCAAAAATATAACTATTACTAAACTAACATAATTAACAAAATGATTAATTAAAAAAATTCTTTTAAGACAATTTTTGAATATTCATAAAAGGTACTAATTATATACATAATTATACAAAAACATATATATTATTTAAAAATTTAAAAAATGACAAAATAATTTTAAAATAACTTGAAAATAAAATTTAAATTTATAAAGCTAATTATTTCAAATCGTTTGAAATTAAAGAAGCTCGATGATTAATCTATATTGTGGAGGACAAAAATTGGGTATCAACAATATTCGAAGACCAAAAGCTTCTCCTCTTTCCCATAGTAAAAAGTTATAATAGGAAGCAAGTTCTTATGGTTCCGCTCTAAACTCATGGAAATTTTATTCAAATTAAATTGCAAACCATACATTTGTATATCCGCTCTCTTTATTAGATATTGATTCAAAGTCCACTAAGCTAAACATAATCGTACAAAATAATCTTGAAGGTGGGTGATCTTGAACTTTTGAACCTACATGCTACATAGCCAAAACTTGCGCATGGATCAACCGAGGATCAAAATTTCGAAATCACCAATTTTCAAAAAAATTAGGTGTCCCCACAAAATATTTCAAAAATTATCAAATCATATGATTAAAATAATAATACACACTAACTAAATAGAAATCGAAAGCAACAATGCTAAGAAAAATCCAATAATCCAATGTGGGCAAAATGAACCAAAAGTGGAGTATCCACCAATATCATTCTCTTGACGGTGTGTGTAAACAGTACTTGACCCATTATAATTTGGGTTTGACCCGTATAACATTTGTACCCCTTCAATATCATCTCTTGATAACTCCACTTTCCTCGTTCCATCCTCAATTGTTGGGAACATAATTGCTTCTTTTTCGGACGAATGATCCAAACCCAATAAGTGCCCGATTTCATGAACCGCAACTGATTCAAGATCCACCATCCCTTCTTTCAAATACTCACCGTCAACCACCCAATTCTCCTCGCCGTCTAAGTGGAAAAACCCTGTTGGAGGTGCAAATGCGTGTGCCAAAATCTTGGTACGAGCAAAGAGAGTACTTCCAAAGTCACGTGCTTGATATTCAACACAAATTGTCAAGCAAACACTCTCAACTCAAGCAAGCTATTGGTTGTTCGAGCATTCTTCAATCCAATCTCAACTTCCATTAGCCTTGAACCAACTACAGGACACCAGCTTGGAACTTTTTCCATATTTATTAGCTTGAACGGACGTAAATTAGGAGTATCAATGATAGCTTCATCCAAGTCACGCATGTCACTTAAGGTCAAATTCTCAAGTTCATAACTCAGAAGATTGATCTTTTCCATATTTTTGAATAAACGAAGAGATAAAGATTTTAGACACGGAAATTCAAAAGAAATATCTTCAGGAAATCCAATGGGAATGTATTGACAATCTAATTCCATGACTTGTAGCTTAGTACAAGCGCGCGAATCAACTTCCACTGACAATGATGAATTAAACAAGTGAAACTCCGTCAGATTTCGAGCTTTTATTTCTATTTTTTCTAAATATCTATTATCATAATTCACATGAACCTTCCTAAGTTGATCTTCATGAGGCACTGAAATCCGGAAAAGGTAGCAACAACGTATCAAAGTTAACTCAACAATCAAAGGGCACTTACGAATAAGTTTGAAGAGAGTTAAAGGATTAATATGAACGCGATTAAAACAGATCTCTTTCATACTAGGAAACCAACTAAAATTGTTCTCATTAATAGTGCAACATTTTAAATGCAGAACGGTTAATAATCTCGATTCGAGTTTTTTGAACGAATCATCATTTTGATTCACTTATACACTTTCAGAGTCACACTCTATTTTAACAAGTTCCTAATACACTAAAACGAAAATTTTATATTTCTTTGTATTTTATGTGATAACGTGGAGGTAAATCCAATTCAATTAGTTGTTGTGATATACATGTGCCTTTTATGTATTTATGTTTTTTGTTTAATTTAAAAAAAAAATATATTCTTATTTTCTTTATCTTGTATTTAAAATAAATTTATACACGTACTTTTTTTTTCTTTATATTTAAATTTTTCTCAAATACTTTTTATAGTTTCTTTGTCTTAAATAAAAAATTTCTCAAACGCACATTTTTATTATTATTTGCTATCTTTTTTTTTTCTATTAATTTTATTATTCGTTGTATTCAACTATAAAGTTACGTAAATATATACAATTACTAGCTTATATATGCGGTAGTGGTTTATTTGTTGCTATTGTTTTAGGGAGTTAAGTATGTTATTTCTTGGTCTCTAGGCTACAAGATTAATGGAGTTGTTTAGATCAGAATAATTTGGAGTAATTTATGTGTTCCGTTATTAATAGTTTTTTTTTTTTTTT